CATGATTTCTCAAACTCCCCAATTCAGGAAGTCTCAATGGGAAAACTAGAGAATCACAGGATCATAGAATGAATTTTTTAAAAGCACAGGAATTCACCTAGCTAGAATGGACAAGTCATTCAAATCGGAATGTAAGAGTTGGGCCGGCCCTGTGGCTTAGCAGTTAAGTGCGCGTGCTCTGTTGCTGGCGGCCCTGGGTTCGGATCCCGGGCGCGCACCGACGCACTGCTTCTCTGGCCATGCTGAGGCCGCGTCCCACATGCAGCAACTAGAAGGATGTGCAGCTATGACATACAACTATCTACTTGGGCTTTGGGGGAAAAATATAAATAAATAAATTAATTAAAAAAAATAAAAAAAGAATGTGAGTCAACCATGCTCTAAGTGTTAATATTGGGGGAAAAAAAGGAAAGGTCTCATACAGGAGAGATGGAGAGGCTCAGGGAGATCATGTGAAAATCCTGGAGCTATTAGAACATAACAGAATTCACAGGAAAAACTCTAGTACCTATGGGGGAAGACATTGAAATGGCAATGAGGAAAAGCACTAGGCAGGATGCTACTGAGAGCAAGGTTTGTCAGGGCTGAGGCGGGGTCCTCATTTGAAGGGGAGGAAGGCAGCCACGTGGGGTAGAGAGGCACGGAGCTTGGGAACTGGGTGCTGCCCGGGAGGCAGGAGCGCCCTGGGCTGCGGAGCAGCGCCCTCAGCTTCCTCAGCCTGGCAGCTCCTCACCTCGCTCTGAGTTGCTTGGCTGAGACAATCATGATGCTTGAGTTGGAACCACTCAAAGAGAGGTCCCTGCTGGGGCCTTGTGCTCTGTCTGTTGTCCACAAACCTGTTTTTCTGACTAGACTTAAAGCCCTGTAAGTCAGGGACCAGATCAGGCTCGGATCCTGTTCCCGACCAGCCATCATTTCTTAGCACTGGAAACTGCTCAAAAAGTGTCAGTTGAGGAAATTTTTTGCTTTTTTTTATTGTGAAAGCTTTGCCCTGAGCTAACATCTGTTGCCAATGATCCTCTCTCTACTTTTTTTCCCTCCCCAAAGCTCCAGCTCATAATTGTATATTCTAGCTGTAAGTCCTTCTAGTTCTTCTATGTGAGCCTGTGCCACAGCATGGCTACTGACAGAGGAGTGGTGGGGCTCCTCGTGGGGAACTGAACTAGGACTGCCTAAGTGGACTGATGAACTTTACCCACTTGGCCATCAAGGCTGGCACTGAAGGAAATTTTTTAAAAGAAGGAAATACTTCTACATATAAACCGGAAATGAAGTGTCAGAGAAGGATCAGTGAAATGGGTCATTGCCAGGTAAGCAAGAGGATGCTGGAGAGACGTGATCATTTTCATCAAGTGTCGACAGTAAGACCCGTGTAAGGGGTGTGAAGAACTGGAGAGAGAAGCCGTGGGTCTCCCATTCCAATGGCTGGACCCATGCAAAGGGGGCTCGGGCACAGGTAGGAGGCCAGAGTGCCCGGATCAGGGAGGGAGGGGCCGCAGGGCGGGCCTGAGGAGAAAGGCACGTGGAGGGCAGGGTCCTGGGGCAGAACCAGGGATCTGCTGCAGTGTTGAGGTTACGCAAGGCCTTGTTTAATGATGTGCCAGAACCCTGAACCTTCGCGAAAAACTAATGAATGTCACTAATCTTTCCACAGGAGCTAAACAAAAAGATCCTTTACATGACATTTGAAAAAAGTCTGGAGATTAAATCTCACTCCTAAAGGAGCTCTATGTGTTAATAGATAGGTAGGTAGGTAGGTAGGTAGGTAGATAGATAGATAGATAGATTGACAGACAGATAGAAGAAAGAAGACACAGGTGTTACCTGGTATGTTCAGACTAACTCATCTCCAGGATCTGGGAGCAGGAGAGAGCATGCATTTGCTGATCCTCATAATGAATTTTATGTACATTATCTCATTTAACTTTCTCAACAGCCCTCAAAAGTAGAAATAACTCTGTTTTTAGAAGAAATTTGCGGTGCAGAGATGCATCCACCTGCCTGAGGTTGTGATCCTCATGAGGAAAGAGCTGGGATTGAGCACCAAGTCTCCTTCTCTCTGCTGAGACCTGCTGTGATTAGGACCCCTAGACCTCACTCCTTTAGTTCATTCCTGGGATTATCATGGATAAGGCCTTTCGAGGACTATAAGCCTACTCCTCTATTAAGGTAAAATTTAGTTACACTAGTGCTCAATTTACTCATAGTAAATTTTTAGGCTGTCAAAATAAAGCAAGGCATGCTTTTATCAATGCTTCTTCATATCAAGCACCTAAAAATCAGCTAACAGAGAGGAACTCAGGAATTCCATGTTTCCTTCTCTCCCTGCCCTTCAACCGTTAGCTGGCTAATGGATTCCGAATGGGAAGAATAAACGAGAGTCTCAGGGAGAAGCACAGAGAGAGAGCCTGAGTGTTCCATGGTGGGGTGAAACCTGAAATGACGTGGCCCTGAAATCAGAGGACACAGCGTGTGAGCCTAGGAAAGCTGCTGCATGTCTTGACCTTCAGTTTCCTCCTTTTTAGAACAGGATACGAGAAGCTATTTCCCGGGGTTGTGGTCGAGGGCAGACACACTTGCTGGCTATTGAGTGTGAATCAGGAACACACGTGTGTGACTTTGGCAATTCATCGAATCTCTCTAGTTCTCATTTTCTGCTGACCAGGCAAAGTTTTAGGATAACCTTTGCCCCAGTCTGGACCAGGCCTTTGGAAACCTCCTAGTGGGGAGGTGAGGAAAGTTGCCTATAAGGAAGCGAGTTATGATAAAATATTATCTAAGAGAAGAGTTCCTTTCCCTTTGTAACGCGATCCTCAGTGAAAGGGAAAGGAGCTGAGTGTGAGGTGTGAGTCACTTGGCTCTGTGAACTCTAGTCCACAGCATACACTTCCCGCCTCAGTGCCGGCTTTAGTCTCCTCTCCATTCTGCTCAATCCCAGTACCTCCACCTCCCGTGATGAGAAAGTACAAACTCCAATATCTCCAATCACAAGACAGATGGTTGATTAAGTATGTTTCCAAAGGATTTTTTACTTTCTTTTTTTTAAATAATTTTATTTATTTACTTTTTTTCCCCCAAAGCCCCAGTAGATAGTTGTATGTCGTAGCTGCACATCCTCCTAGTTGCTGTACGTGGGACGAGGCCTCAGCGTGCAGAAGCGGTCCATCGGTGTGCACGCGGGATCCAAACCCGGGCCGTCAGCAGCGGAGCACAGGCACTTAACCGCTAAGCCATGGGGCCGGCCCGAATTTTTTACTTTCTGAAGGTTAGACTATTGAGTCCCCCATTAAAAATGTGCATATTGAAAACATTTTGATATCTAAAATTCAAGTCATACACACTTTTTCAGAGATATATCTCCTGGGCAAAGAGAGATATATTTTTGTCCGAAACTCCCCAACAATAAAATTTGGCAAGAAGAATCTTAATGTTTTCTAAACAGAGCCTGGGATTTGGATGGAAAATGCAACTGTTCCTCCCTCAGTCCTGGCTTTGGGACTCCCGCTTGTAACCAGTCCCCTGTGCTTCCATTCACACTCATGAGGAACTAGTCATGTCCACTGTTGGAGCTGTTGAGTTTCATTCTCTGGTTCTGTCTGTTGGCCACCCACACAGCATGGGGTAGAACAAGGGCTTTCAAATTTTGCTGATTGGACACAACCAATGTCTCTCTCACCATGAGTTGACCAAATGAGTGTGCACACATCCACACGTGCAACACACATCTGACTGAAGCTGAAACTCCTGAGATGATCCTAACCTCGTCTCCATAGACGGCACTCGGAGAGTTTCTACTGTCTTCTATTTCATTTCAAAAATTGGTGGATTTCACAATCCACTGAAGGATTGTCATGCATCTTTTGAAAAACACTAATACAGAAAATGAGTCCTAGCCTTTGGTTTCACATAGAAGTGGGTTTGAACCCCAGGTCCACCACCTCCATTGGGCAAGTTCCTCTAGAAACCTCAGTATCCCCAACTGTAAAGGGAGAGTGATAACAGACTCTCATAAATAACCTCAGGTGATTTTTGTAGCATTAAATGGAGATAAATTTGTGAGCATGCTCATCGTATGACAGACATTGAACAAATGTTAGTTCCACTCCATATACTATAAAGTTGATGCAGTAACATCCCTTTTACTAGATTATAAAATGCACCAAATGGAGGTAGAATGTAGAATTCCAAAACATGGAAGAATTCCAAAATCAGCATCCTGTGTCTGTGGGAAGAATTAGGATCTGTTGAGCTACAGTTAAGCGAGTCTGAGCCCTAATTTTAGCTTTTGAACAAATGCATTGTTAACTCTGCTCCCTCCTCCCCCTCGGGGTCAGTGAAGTCCTCTTGTTTCAAGGCGCCTCACAGGCTCCCAGGGCCTGCATCTATCTGTGTGGGGTCCAGCCCTGCCCTCCCTTTATCCTGGGGGTGGATTTCCATGTCCACCACCCCCTGGAGTGTGACTGTGGATGTGTCATTTAACTAATCTCTGCACCTCTGTCTCATTAACTGCAAAATGGAGATAATAACAACTATTTCATGGGGCTGATATGAAGAATAAAGATACAACGTATTCAAAGAGGTTAGGATTTGTTCACAATCATTAGGAGGTTGTTTTCAATAAATATTAGTTCTCTAATCCTTCCCCTTCCCCTGATCCCCACACTCACTTCCTTACCACAGACCCTCACCGATTTGGTTTCCAAGACCACCACTTTACCCAGTGGAGACTGGAGAGTGGTTTGGTGCCATTTCCTGGGCTTGGCTCCTGAGGGTGAGAATTTGAGCCCAGGAAGACATTCCAGGGACTCTTCTGACTCTGCCATGAAGGAGGCAGACCTTCTTCAGCATCGTTGGTGCTGTTCAACCATGTATCATAAAGTACATTTTTGCTTCTGTTGTTCTCTTCGTTTGTTCATTTATTCATTCATTTGTTCATTCATTCCAGTTTAGAGAAACCAGGAGGCCGCATCATTGCAGCGAAGCCCAAACTTCACTACTTGGATGGACGAGACAGAATGGAGACCATCCAGTGGCTCCTGGCTGCAGCTGGAGTAGAGGTGGGTTCAGAGCTTGCTCATCTAAAATTGACTATCAAAGTCCCTTCTCACATAACTAGGAGACTGTTCTTACTAAGTGACCTGTCAAGAGATTTGCATTAAAATAAACTTCAGTTATTAAGTGATGAACTGATTTGATCTAATATGTTATTAAATTTCTTGTCTTCAAAGAACATAAACAACCAAAATAAATTTGAGAAACTAATCACAATATGTGGGCCAATTACAAATGGATTTAAACAAACGTAAAATGTCATTTATGACATTTATGCAATAGTTAGAAACATGAACATACTGCATATTAAAAAATATTAAAGAGTTATTGTTACTGTTTTAGGTGTGATAACATACTGAGGTTATTTTTAAAATAGTTCTTACGTTTTAGAGACACATTGAACTATTTAAAGAGGAAATACAAGATATCTGGGATTTGCTTTAAACTATTACAGGAGAGGGAGTGTGGTGGGCATATAGATGAAAGGAGACTGGCTTGAGTTGATAATTATTGCTGCTGGGCAATGGGTGCAAGGATGATCTTTTTTCCTGTATTTTAATTGTACATGCTAGACGTTTATATAATAAAAGGATAAAACGATATAATATTAAACTATAATACAATTAAAGTTAAGAAATAACAACAAATGTGGGGAGGAATGGATTGTAACAAACTGGCTGTGAAGATGTAATACATTCACTCAGCAGTGATTTTGTTGATCACCGTTAAGGGCCAGGTCCTGTGCTAGGTCCTGGGTACACACGGATGAACAAGACAGACACAGGCCTGTCCTCAGGCGGCTTACATTCTAGTGAGGTTGCACATGGTAAGGAGGTGATTAAAAGGAGAGAAGGGAGCATCTAGGAGGACACCCAAGCATTTAGAGTGTCAAAATGCCATATTCCCAGTGGAAAAATGGTAGGTTTCCTGGGAGTCTGTTGAGTGCTGCCCTCTAGAGGTGTCACAGAGAAAAACACTTCTCAGTCCAGATCAGAGGGACCAGCAACTCTGGGATGGGTTTCCCAGGGAGAGGGTCATGGACAGACTCAGGACATCTTGTCCCTCAGGTGGGAGCAGAAAAGGAGGGTTCCAGATGGGACAGTGTCCTGTGACAGGAACTTCTAGTGGGCTCCCTTCAGCCTCATAACACCATGTTTACTAAAGCCTTGGGATTACACTCTCTGGATTGCTCCATGGGCGCATGGGGCTTTAGCCTGGCCCTCTCTCAATTTCATGAAGAAACCATACACAAAACATCCAAATAGTGCCATTCCAGGTTGTTTTCTTTCTATGAGTCAATAACTCGTTTTCACTGTGTCCAGCATCAGGTTTTGGTTCAGGGACATGTTCAGAGCCCCGGGGCAGGATCAGCTCAGCACAGGAGTGGGAAGCAGGGGGAGGTGCTGAGAGCATCCAGGCTTCCTCTTCTCCATCCCAGCTTGACTGAAGAGGGTGGTGGGGCAAGGACTTACCAGAGGCTCTTGGTCAGGGCTTCTGGGTTCTCTGTGCCCAAAGGCTGACCCTCACCATCCCATCCGTCTGCACTAGCCTCGCAAACACCATCTCACTAGCCAACCCCACCCCACCTCAGCCACCCTGCTGTGAAGACCACCACCATCCCTTATGTTTGTCTTGAAGTGGGTGCTTTATGAATTACTGCACCCACACCTCACCGTCTGTATAGTCTGACCCTGTGGAGTCATGTAGACCCACAACAAACTGTTCCACTGGACAAGTTAGAAACCCCCAAATTCCCACACTTTTCACCATGAAGAACCCCTTTAAACTATAATAGCTGCTGCAAACACCACTACTAGTTATTACATGGTTTATGTGGGCCGGTCCTATAATATGCATTTTAAAACACAACATATTCTGCTTAAGAAAATGTTCTACCTCCATTTTATAGATGAGGAAACTAATGCTTGGAGATGTGAAGTGACTGTGCCCAGATCACACAGCTACTATGAGGCAGAGCCAAGTGTGGAACCAGATTCTATCAACACTGAAATCCATTTTCCTAATATCTGTCTCTTTTGACTTTTGGTTTGATAGATTCTGCTGATTAAGTAAACTGCATGATTATATAATTACTGATTTTCATATTTGTACTAAATTCAACAACCATTCAGAGCTTCTGGTCCGACTGAAACAGCCTTGCTGTTGGCTGCCATTCCAACCACAGAGACTCGGCTCAGGAGAAGGGATAATATACACCAAGGTGTAAATCCTTAATGTAGGTCAAGCACAGAGTACATGTTCACCCATGTTAGATTGTTTTAAATCTTTTTTATTAAAAAAAGGATGGTATGATGAAACAGCAATCAACTTCAAAACTCCTGACAACGTATGTTTATTGATCACCTAGTGTATACATGGTACTGTTTAAAGGTCTTTGCATACCATACGGATTTAATCTTCACACCAACCTATAAGTTGGTACCACAACTCTACCCCTTTTATAGATGAGCACACTGAGACACGGAGAGATTCAGTAATGTGTCGAAGGTCAAGAGGTCACTACATGTATTCAAACCCAGGCAATCATATGAGAAATCAACATTTTTAGTTAAAAAAAAAAGCTATATGGAAACAATTTTTCCTTCCTGAAATTGGGAGTTCTAACCTAATATGTCCACTATTTTCGAGGAGAACAAATTCTGAGTTGAAAGAGTTAAAACTGTACAGCCACCAGGACTCATTTTACCCTGAGTGGGGCCTTGTGGGATGGGGTGGTGTCAATGACAGCAGAGGCCTCTGGTGGCAGCATCTTAGAGGGTCACTGCCCCCTGGCATACCGCATGATAAGGGACACACAATGTACTGTCCTGATCTCATGTGGAGAGACAATAGGAAGAACTTGCTAGTCCCTTCCCTCCATGACATCCCCTCCCCAGTCACCACCTAACCATCCACAGAGCTGGAAAGAGGGTGGAGGTGAATTGAAACTGCAAGAGTGAGCTGTTACTGCTGTAACCCGTGCTCTTTCCTGACGCCTCTCATCTAAATTCCCAGCGGCCCTGATCACACTCCTCTGCGTACCCTGCCAAGCTCAGGAATCGCCCTTCTCCTCGTCATGTGCCAGACAGGGGCCATTCAAGTGTAAAAGCTCTATAATGCTGTTGAATGAAAGAACAAGAACTCATTGACTGTTTCTGCTTTCCAGTTTGAAGAGAAATTTATAGAAACTTCGAAAGACTTGGAAAAGCTGAGAAATGGTAAGACCAAGTATCTAGTTGCCTCTGATGAGAGTATCTAGTAGAAGTCATGTGTTGGGGTTTTAACCCCGGGCAATGCCTATGTGTGTGTACCCTGGGAGCTGGGGGCCAGGGAGAGGGAGGGAAGTGGTGCAAATGTCAGGGCTGGGGCTCCTTGAGCAGTTTTGGTAACTCGCTCAGGGCAGGAAGAGCTGGAACTCTCTTGAGTGTTTGCTCCAGGACCGTCCCCCAGGCCCTGTGGATCCCTCTCTTTGCTTCTCCTGCTTTTCTGCACCAGGACTGACTGTATCAGCTCAGGATCCCACAGCCCTCCAGCAAGGAAATCAAACATATGCATTAGAGTGAAAGAGGAGAAACAGGCCCCGCACTTGCCTTGAGTTCTTGGAGACTGTATCTGTGCTGATATCTGACGGGCACATCCTCTTCCTTGTGTTGCACAAGAGCCATGAATCCACAGGATGAGTGTGTAGGGAAGAAGAGAGGGAAGAAATGCTATTGAGCTGGATTTTCTTCCTCTTATCCTCATGGCTCTCCCGGTGTCTGTTCCCCAGCCTCACACTGGTGCGGCTGGAGGAGACTCAGTGGGTCCTCGCCTAGGAGGGTCTCAGATTCCCTGGCTTGTGCTAATGACGGGGCTGGTCTTTGGCTCCACTCTGAGGCTGTGCTCCTGTGCATTGCAGGCCCTGAAAACCAGAATCAACAACCTCTCCACCATGAAGAAGTTTCTACAGCCTGGCAGCCAGAGGAAGCCCCAGCAGATGAGAAAAGGCTACCAAAAGTAAAGAAGATTTTCAAGATGAAATAGAGCAAGCATAGTGGCCTAACACATGCAGGACCAATCTTCTGAAGTTCCAACAATGAAGTGCTTGACCTAGATGTAGATCCTGGCTATTTTGAGACTAAAAAAATATTCCAAGTTTTTAGTGGTAATTAAATAACACAATTCCTATGAGCAGATTTAGTTACAATTTTTTATGTTTCATTAGGTTAAATATGAAATCAGATTTTCAATCTCCTTCAAAACTGTCTCTTGGTTGGAATGAAAAATACAATAACAAAGGAAAACAGATTCTGTGCTCACCTTGATCTTTTCCAGAAATTGTCATATAACACCTGTCACATAGCCATTGTAGGGGAAGAGAGAGAATCCCCCTCTGCCCTTTCCCTTAAGGTTCTTATGGCTGGCCAAATAATTAAAAAGACAGGTTAGCAGGAGAAAATAATACCAAGTTTAATA